TTATATGTTTATTTTTTATACAAATTTACAAAATCTTTTTATTTTTTAAACATGTTAAACTAACTTTTAATTTTTAGGCATATTGAGTCATAATATAATTTTTAAAATAATTTGCGGTCATTTCCATTGTCTTTATATATAGTATACAATTCTCTAATTAACTATATATGTTTAATTTTTATATATGATATCGAAGATTGATCATACAATAGATGGTTTAACATGCCAAAAATATTATATGCTAAGTGAATATAATATGATCAAGTATTACAAGTACATCATTTAATAAAATAAATAATCAACAACCGGAAAATCATATCCGCGCTGGCGCGCGGGTCAAGGTCTAGTTGGGTATTTAAATTAAATGAAAATGTGATCAAGTCAAGAGGCATCCGTTAATTAGGAGTGCGAAGGTACCATCTCTATTTGTCCCATTTCTATTGGGGAGAGGTTTATTATGGACTATCAAATTTTTTTTTTCTTCTTTCTCTCTTCGGTTTCTCTTCTCTCCCTCGACGAAAGGTTATTCAATGGTAATTCAAAGGCAAATAGAGAAAACACCTAAATCAAACTACAAAGTAATTTATGAGTTTGAAAGCATAATTTTGGAAGAGTGTAGTTAATTAAGGGCAAAACATGTTTCTCATTGGCTCTTCTGCAACACAAGAAGCAAGTTGCAAACTTGCAAAGTGAGTGAACCATCCCAAATATATCAAAAAAAATCTTTAAGAAAGGGTTTAACTACTTTATAACGTGTCCATAATGACGTCAAGTACAGAGAGATTCTCAAAGCCGACATGGTTTGACATATACCAGAGAATCTAACAGATTAAAACGAAACATGCCACATACACACAAATTACAACCACTGACTTTCTAAATTATTACCCTCCACTTTTCAAAATTTTAATTTTCTTCTCAACTACTATAAACGAACTCATATTATTATTTCTTGGATCACGTTACATAACGTGGCAGCTAAACGCTGAGCTATGAACCCAAAGCGGGTCCCACTCTACTATTAACGCAGCGGCTCTGGATTCGCCACGACTGTTAAGAGTGTGAACCGGAGGGACAAAAAGCGTCGACCACGTCCCACCATAAAAGGATGAGACGAGAAGGCTCTTCTCACCCAACGGCCCAGATCTCACTAGACCAGTCTGTTCTGTCTTTTCTCAAACCCGTCGATTTGTCTTGCTTTTCATCTATCGCCAACTCTGTTTCTTTTTATAACAAAAAGAATTAGGATAATGTCTTTCTAATTGTGACCAGTACTTAATTTCCATTTCTTATTTAATCATGTTCAAGTGCGATCGTTCTTTAATTTTTGTCGTATCACTCTCAAAGCTTAACGAGACTTGACATCCACACATGTGTTGTCTGCCACAATAAGTGAAAAAGGACAAATGTAACATATCTATCATCATATAACACAAGTTCATAAGTAGGAAAAAGAAAGTTAATAAGTAGGAATAGTAAAATAACATGCTGTTTTTTTCGAAATACTGTAAAATAATAACATGCTATAAGCCTATAAATGTATTGAACACTGGAGTCGAATAACAGACGAGGGGAAATATCGAGGAAGTACCTCAATTATTTATGACCATCTGGAATCAATAATATGGCATGTTTAAACTTATGATTAACCTTTAAAAGTATACTAGATCTTGACTTGTGAGACCGCAGAAATATCTAATTTTATATTTTAATTTGTATTTATATTTAATGTTATATTTTTTAAATATAATCATATTTATAAATATGAATTTTATATATAAATATATTTAAATTTATATTTTTATTTTAACCTAATAATTTATTAATTTTAGAAAAGACATAAGAGATATAGAATTAAGAGTAATTATTATTTTATTAATTTTGAAAAAGATGAAAATTATTTAAATGGAAATTAATTTAATTAGTTTAATATATTAAATCGTAAATAAGTTGTAAATTTAAGGAAGAATTATTATTGGTTATTTTGCTTTAATAATATAGATTTTGGCCCTGTAGGCTGTAGAGATACACACTGAACCGACATGCATATTCCCGAAATAAACCAAAGAACAAACAAATTGATTTTTTCTTATTAGAGAAATCAGAAAATATTATCAAGGACCAAAGCAAAAAAAGAGATACTTTTGCCGATCTATACTATTATTTGCGAAGTGATTTTTCGCAACGGAGCTCTCACGTTAAAAGTTAGAGCGGTTAATATCGATATTACCCTTAATGAATAAATATATAAATCAGCCAATAATAAAAACGAATTAATATTTATTTGATTAGATAAATGATTTAAATTAATAATAATGATAAGAATAATCCATAATCTAAATATATATTTAAAAATAAAAAGATAATTTCTATATATATTGTGTTGTTATCCAGAAAATATATTTAATAAAACAATTTCAAAAACATAAAACACATAAATAAATATTAATTAAGTAAAAACTTAATTGTATATAATTGAAAATAAAAAATTTAAAATAATTATAATACATAATTATTTTCAAATTAAAAGAATATAATAATATAATATAATGATATATATATTTGTGAAGTTATTTTCGTCTCTGAGTTCACGCATTAAATTAAATTTATTTTTTGGATGCAAATATCATTTATTTTGATGATTTTTAAATAGATTTAAAGATAATTAAGTCCGTATGTGCAGTCAAAACACCTAGTTAACCAAAATATAAAACAACTGAAAAATATTCGAAATTTTCCACTAAATATAAACCTTGTAAACTACACGGGACCGCCTAAGAACAATAAAATAAAAATCAAACCCTTTATTTCCTCTCTTCAGCCGCCGCTTTCACTTACCTCTTCCTCTTCCTTCTTCTCCTACGTTCTTATTCCTTCATCTTCTCGTACGTTTTTCTACACTGTGGAGCAAGCTCAACTTGAGAGCCTTTTGTTTTGTTTATCTTATCATCCTCTCCGGTTTTCTTATTTGGCTTCAAAGTTTCAGGTCCCGATGATAAGAACAGGGGAGGAAGAAGACTATACAAGTCCACCGTGGCTAATGCCAATGCTACGAGGCAGCTACTTCGTCCCATGTTCGATCCACGCCGATTCCAACAAGAACGAATGCAACATGTTCTGTCTCGATTGTGCTGGAAATGCCTTTTGCTCTTACTGTTTGGTCAAACATAAAGACCATCGCGTTGTTCAGGTCTACTATCTCTTCCTTTTTTTATTTTATTTTATAATGTCGATGAAAAAGGGAAATGAAAATTAAATTGCAGATAAGGAGATCTTCTTACCACAACGTGGTGAGAGTGAATGAGATACAAAAGTACATAGACATCTCTTGCGTTCAGACATATATAATCAACAGTGCAAAGATCGTGTTCCTCAATGAAAGACCTCAGCCAAAAATCGGAAAAGGTGTTACAAACACTTGTGAAATATGTTGTAGAAGCCTCCTTGATTCTTTTCGCTTCTGCTCTCTCGGTTGCAAGGTATAAAAACATAAACCTATCACACAACATACTTATGTGGGTACATATTACACGTGGAATGACTCTGTTGTTCTTGGTTGTTTTAACTGTTTCAGCTTGGGGCAATGAAGAGAGGAGATCAAAGTCTAACCTTCTCTCTGAGAGAGAAGCATGGGAGAGAGTACGAAGGTGGGTCGGAATCAGATGAGGCTACTACACCGACTAAGATACGCAAGACGAATGCTTTCAACCGTCTGATGAGTGGTCTCTCGATCTCTACCGTTAGATTTGATGATTATGGTCCAGGTGGAGATCAACGGTCTTCAAGCTCTGGTGATGAAGGTGGTTTCAGTTTCTCCCCGGGAACACCTCCGATATACAATCACCGGAACTCGAGCAGACGTAAAGGGATCCCACACCGTGCTCCGTTCTAAAAAAAATACTGGATTACAGCCCCATATTAATAATTAACTACAATATATAACCAGTAAATGGGATAATACACATCAATATTATAATGTACTATAACTCTTGGGGTGGAATCTAGGATGTAGTCATAATGTTGTACATGGGCCAGTGTCCTCTTCTTTTCTTATATTTCTTTTGCTTAAAAGATAAAGTAAATGTAATTAGGCACAATAGATTTTATATAATATATAGAAGAATGTAAGGTTATACAGTTAAGGGTTTGATGTTGGCTTAGCTTAAAATCGTATGGGTTTGTCTTGTGTCGTAATGTAATTTGTACATTAATTTTGTTCATACTTTAATAATATGACGTAAAACTGTAATAACTGGAGTATATATAAACGCTGTTGCGTTGTCTACTGCAGCTAATGTATTCGCCATTGTTTATATAATTTAAGAGGGTGTGATCATACCTAATAGTCCACTTGTCCTTTACTTGATTTTAAGCTAATTTATGAGATAATATATAATTGAAACGCTGACGTCCACCATATACTTATATATTGCATTGTCTTAAAAGTCGTAAGAGTGACACAGAAATATATTGGTTTCAATAATGTTGATTGATTTGTTATAGCTTGACGTTATCAAGAAGAATATTATAATAGTACGCCAAGGAATGTTATTTGTATCAACGATCAGTATGCTTTTGAGAAAGTAAGCTAGTGGATAGAGCCGTGTGGAATCTGGAAGGCTGCGATTCTCTGCCACCGTTAGGGGTGTCATCACCTTTATATGGTATCTTATTCAGTGTCATATTAGCTCTAGTAATCCACCCATCTATTTTGATTATTTTCATTATTTGATCATTTAATTGTTCTGCTTGTTGTTGATCATGTTCGTATTTTTAATTTATCAAAGAAAATAATTAAATTGATATCTTTTCGTTTCTTCAGCAAAATTCAGTCCCAGCTGAATTTGTGGAGGCCACCACAACATATGCATAATTGGCTGGATCGTTGTTCAAATTTATAAACATAAATAACATATATTTTTAATTTTAAAGAAAAACATTGCTATTTTTGAACTAACATTACCTAAAAACACGTCCAACAAGAGGGTACTCCCGCCATGGACGGGGCTCTGTTAAGTAGTCCTTCAGACGACCCACTGGCTGAGGCAACGACCGAAGGGGTTTTATCAACTGATCCAACTTCCAACTAGTTGAGCGTCCTCGTCACTATCAATTCTACACATGCCGACTGCAATCATTCAGTTCAGGGCACGCATATGAAAGAGTACGAGAGAACCACTTGTGACCTTGGGTGGAGTTTCTTGTTGATCAGTCTAAGACGTTAAGTAATGTTTACTAATACTTCCTCTGTTTTAATGTAGTTGTTTGTAGAGTAAAATTTTAGTTTCAAAATAAATGTTGTTGTTTATGATTTGAGTATAAAATTTATTAAGTTTATATGTTATTTTTATATATTTTTATTAGTTGAAATATAATTAATATTATAAATAAGTTGAATGTGATTAATATTCTAGAGAATGATTTTTTATTTAAAATATATAAAATTAAATATTTTCTTAATCAATTACTGTGAACAAAACTAAAACGATAAATGAAATAAAATTGAGTATTAAATCAGATCGCCATCGCTCCCACAAGTGATCAGATAAGGATTTGTAGTGTATGGGGGTATATTTAGCTAGTATTTTGGCATCGTTATAGGAACTGAATATTTTGTTTATTTTGTAAATTGAATGCACTACGTATTAAGAAGACATAAACTGTTATGAAATCATTAACAAATATATATGTAGAACTATTCTTTTTGAATATTAGACATCTATAAAGAGTCAAGAAATAGGCTATTAAACAATGCATAACCTTGTGCATCTGTAAAATAATTTGACTTTTAATGTCAAAAAATAACTAGAATGAATAATCCGTTTTTCATAAGGCTCTCATTCTTGGAATCACTAAATAACGTTTTGCTCTCCTCTATTATGCAAAAAAGTAAAAGCGGTTTGTAAAAATGCATTATATTATCTGTTGATCTCATACATTTCATTGTTTTTGTTTAATTACCCTCACAAATTAGATATAGTTAGCCATGCTTCATTCATACAGTGGTACACTACAAAAAGTTGGCAAGGATAAGTTTGAACATAGCGACACACAATAAGGTATATAAAAACACTGTGGTTAGACCACCTCCATCGGGAGGTCTTAGGTAGGATTCCTTAAAAAAAACTAAAAAGAATAAATCAAAAAATACATAAAACAAGAGAACCGGTACTGAACACAGCACTTTAAGGAACGGTAAGTACCCCATACGTGTCTACTTCGTATTGGCTAATGCTTTTGGTCTTTCTTCGTCAAGTTCTTTTGCAAGAAAAATAGAATCATCGTTTGTGGAGAGAGAGAAGAGATGATTGGATCAAAGTGAAAAGGAGAAGATGAGTTCTGATTTGTATCCGAAGGAGTTTACAGCAGCAACAGGTGCCCGAGCAAGTACGGTCGGCGGAGACCGGTTATAATTGCCGGCGCTGCGACGATCGAGGTGTCTGTTTTGGTGATTGGACAAAGCCATCTTGTGTTTGCTATGTTTAGGTTGTAACAAAGCCATCTTGTGTTTCAGAGAATGAAGTGTGTTGTTCTGTGTTGGTTAGTCAAGTTTCAGTTTTTTTTTAATGCCTTCTGGTGTGATTCATAACAGATTTAGTTATTTCTATCGAACTTGTGCTTTCACTTTAGTTTGCTTGTGTCTCAGGACATGAAGTTTGTTGTTGTGTGTCTGGGTATCTCAAGTTTATAATGTTATTGTCTCGCTTGATTTTCTCTTCTGGTGTATTGTGTGTGTTTCAGTGTCTCAGAAATAACCAAAGCTGCTCTCACACCACATTTAAGAAGAAGAAACAAGTCATGGTCCATAATGCAATAACCACCAGAGAAATAATCAGCGACATCGGTTTACTTCAACAATGGCGTCCTCCTCTGTTCCTCGTGTATCCAAGTATGACGTGTTCCTCAGCTTCAGAGGAGAAGACACTCGCAAAACCATCGTTAGCCATTTATATGCAGCACTTGATAGCAAAGAGATTTTTACATTCAAAGACGACCAAAGACTTGAGAAAGGAGATCACATTTCTGACCAGCTCCACATAGCCCTCAAGGGTTCCAGCTTCGCAGTTGTTGTTCTCTCCGAGAACTACGCTACCTCGAAGTGGTGCTTAATGGAACTTCAGTTGATAATGGAGTTTATGAAGGAAGGAACACTTGAAGTCTTCCATGTCTTCTATGTCTTCTATGGAGTAGATCCTTCCACCGTCAGGCATCAGCTAAAAAGTTTGAATGTTCAAACATATCATTTCTCTCCCGAAGAATGAGCCAAGACCGAAGACATGTGACACCAAAAACCAAGATTTTGCTGTTTCTATTTTTTTCTATAAGTTGTGTGTCGTATAATCCATTTGTTTCACAGAGAACACATTTGTTCAAACATATCATTTCTCTCCCGTTTGGATTTGTAAAAACAAGTGTCTCTTTATTTGTTATTTGTCTCTTCTCTTTGTTTCTAAGAACAAGTGTCTCTCGTTTGTCTCACAAATCCAAAATCTCGGCAATATAATGAGCATTCAGAATCAAGTTCGTGATGGAACAATACATTAACATTTCTACTAATTCGTCTTTGTCGTTTAAGATTTGTATTTGTATTTTTAGTATACTTTTATGTCATTTTAATAAAAAATTTATGTATCTTTTTTCTTTTAAATCATTCATCTTTAAAAAGAAATTTCATTTTTTTTTTTAAAAACCTCAATTAGGTTCTACCAATGGAGGATGAAAATATTAAATATACCAACAGAGGTACTTAAGCTTTCAAATCAAAAAATTAAATATTAATTTATTCTTAAGTACTCCTAATGGGTACTAATGGATGGAGATGGTCTTATTTTTGTTTGTATCTTTGTGTTTGCTAAGGCCATGTTCAAAGGGGAACATTTGATGTGTTCTTAGTATTAAAAAAATAACAAAAAATAGGAATGTGTTCTTCGATTAGAAGAACTGTTCTTCTCGAAAATATGTTCTTGTTGTGTTCTTCTGCCAAATGTCAGCTTCGGATTGACCAACTTTACTTTCTCTCCTTCATTTCCAATTACTTTCTCTCTTACCTTAATTTTTTATAATATACACTTAACTTATTTTTTATAATATACACTTAATTTATTTTTAATACTAAGAACACATTAAGTGCTCCCCTTTGAGCATGCCCTAACGTGCTAACGCTATCAAATATCAATGATCCGTGTTTCTATTTTTTTTTTCTATCTTCTTTTGATATTCACAAATTATATCAGCTCATTCTATAAGAGATGAAGTTCTATAGGCGTCAAAAAATATATACCTTCTTGACATTAATGTTTCATACATGTCTGTATATGATCTAGTTTCAATAGTTGATGACTTGTACTTGAGCGGGATTCAGCTAACATCAGTTCTGTAAAAAGTGACGTCTGTGGACCAATACATCTCAACAATTGACTAAAGTATTGTTTTTAGATTAAATCACGAAGATTGTTAAAGAATAAAGAAGGTTGTAACTCTCATTGTATTATTAATCACGTGGTTACACATATATATATACATACAAGAGAATAAAGCATATTCCTTAGGAGATAAGGATTGCTACAAATAAAGGGGATGATTATCCTAATCCTATAATGATTAGGATATCTACAACATATGGATAAATACAAGGGAGGATAATGACAA